ATTTTATTATTATTATTATTATTATTATTATTATTACTGCTTTTTTCATTATTTTACAGGCACCAGGATGACATGATTGTCACTCCATTTGCTCAGCTGCTTGCCAGCCTTAAAAATGTACGGAAAAATTTTGTCGATCTTACTCATATACCTCCCGATAGGTAAACAAAATGATTTACGTTTTACGTTAGGAATATTTTTTTTTTTTCATATTTATTTATTTATTTAAGAGCAAAAAGATCAAGTCAACTTGGTTGTGCTCAAGCTGCGTCACCAAACTTTGCTAAGGTGACAACGACAACAACACCCGGTATAAGATTTTCTAATAGTTAATGAATAGAAAAATTAAGTGTTTTTTTTCACATAAGATGATAATTCATTATCACAAGCAATAGCTACATTAGAAGAACTTGATTGGTGTCTAGAACAATTAGAAACCATGCAAACTCATAAATCTGTTTCTGATTTAGCCTCGCTCAAAGTAAAAATAAAAAATAAAAAACATTATATATTTAATTAATTTTTTTTTCTTATTTTAGTTTAAGCGTATGCTCAATAAAGAGTTATCTCATTTTGCGGAAAATAATAAATCCGGCGCACAAATCAGTGATTATTTATATTCAACTTATACAGGTATAGAAATATATAATTCTCCCACAAAAATGGCGAATACAGGACACATGTATAATTTTTTTTAATTTTCCTATAATAGACAAAAAAGAACCTGATGTTGATTTATCTCAAACAATATCATCTTCACGTGGTCTTCCAATGGATGAATCAAATACAATAATAAAACCAAGAACTACTGATACATCAATATCACCACCAGCATTAATGGGACAAATAGTCGGTTTACAAAATGTAACAACAGTAGTAACATCAAAGACATCAATACCTGAATTAGGTGTTGATACACCACATATTGATGAATTACGTTTATTATTAAATCGTATTAATGATTGGGGTTTAGATACATTTCGTATTGAAGATTTAAGTGGTCAACGACCATTAACAACAATAACATATAAAATATTTCAAGAGCGTTTTCTACTAAGGACATATGCTATTGAACCTCATACATTAATTTCTTATTTGCTCACACTTGAAGATCATTATCAACAAGTACCATATCACAATAAAGCTCACGGAGCTGATGTTTGTCAATCAATGCATGTATTGCTCAACGCTTCGGCACTCGACGTAAGAGAAAAGCAAAATTTTTATTTATATATATAACTGTTTTTTAAATATAAAAAGGGCGTGTTCACTGAATTGGAGATCATGTCGGCGATATTCGCATCGGCAGTACACGATGTTGACCATCCCGGTGTAACAAATCAATTTTTAATTAATACTAGTAAGTATTTCAAAATAACAAAAAAAGAATATTGATGAAATAAAACAAAAGAAAAACAATTTTCTTTTTGTTTTTTCCAGAAAATGATTTAGCGTTAATGTATAATGATGAAAGTGTATTAGAAAATCATCATTTAGCCGTTGCATTTAAATTATTACAAGCTGACGAAAGAAATATATTTTCAAATTTAACAGCTAAACAAATAAAAACATTACGTAAAATGGTTATTGATATGGTTTTAGCAACAGATATGTCTAAACATATGCAATTATTAGCTGATTTAAAAACAATGGTTGAATCTAAAAAAGTTACTGGAAATAATATAATTATGCTTGAATCATATGATGATAGAATACAGGTGCTTCAAAATATGATTCATTGTGCTGATTTATCAAATCCAACAAAACCATTAGACATATATATTAAATGGACTGATCGTATAATGGAAGAATTTTGGAGACAAGGTGACAAAGAACGTGATCTTGGATTAGAAATTTCACCCATGTGTGATAGACATGTAGCTAGTGTAGAAAAACATCAGGTTTGTTCAACAAAAAATTTGAATTAATCTAAATACCTAACGAGAAAAAAAAGCTCTATAAAAATATTTTCTTTAGGTTGGTTTTATTGAATTTATTGTACATCCATTATGGGAAACATGGGCTGACTTAGTTTATCCAGATGCAAGTACTATTTTAGAAACACTAGAACAAAATCGTGATTGGTATCAAGCACGTCTTTCGTCTCCATCATCATCATCAACTACAACAGGAAATTTATCAAATTCTCCGACAAATATAAATATTTCATCATCACAGCATCAAGATTCAATTCAACCATTACCATCATCATCATCATTATCATCATCTCCATCTCCTATGTCATCTGATGTTCTTACATCAGCTTCAATTCATTCGACAATAATAAATGCGAATTCAGCCGGTGATCAGCTCATTCCCACATGTTTATCTCCTTCGCCATCAGTGTCATCCACGTCTCGGACAATACCCACTGCAGGAACTTCAAATCCTAGTGGTAATGGTGGTGAATTCCAAATGACGGTGACACCAGCCACGTCCTAAGATCGATGAAAATTCTTTTTTCTTGTTTGTCTCTCTTCTTTTTTTTCTTTTTTCTTCCCTTTGTTCCCATCTCTCATCCTCAATCAAAATCTCTCTGTCTCTCTCTCGCTGTTATCAGTGTAATGCGGCCCATCCGCACTGTGTTCTATTTCTTTTCTTTCTAGTATGATCTGTTTTATTCTCTCTTTTTTTTGTGTTCGGTGTTTGAGCCGGCCTCTTCTTTTTTTTTCTTTCTCTCTTTCTCTCTCTCTCTCTCTCTCTCGACTCGAATAAAAACACTCAAACGACATGAAATCAGGTAAGGTTTAATAATTGTTTAACAATGAATGATTATAAAGAAAAAAATACGAGAGACTTGATGAGCTTAAAGATTTATTTTAAAATTCTTTCTTTCTTTTTTGTTATGCATTGTGCATGACAACGAATCTTTGGAGTGTATGCAAAGATATTTAATAAGCTTTTTTTTTCTTTTTTTTTAAAGTCTTAGACAGAATATTGTAAGATTAAGTTTTAAATTTTCTTTAATAAAAAAAATATGCTCAATAAATAAATGAAGATATGCTCAATTTACAAATGAACTAACTCTTGAATATGACAGATTTATATATATATATATAACAATATTCTACATCGAGAATCGAGCGAAAGTTACTTTTCGTATTATGATATGTTTATTTTCACATACAATTGATTGATGAAACAAAACTTGCAATTCATTTTATATAAGACTTTTATTCAGTATCATAATTATTTTCGTCGTAATTTCGTAACATAAATAAATTCATTAATAAAATGCTTTCATTTGATGCGAGATTCAACGCTGATATATATATATATATAAATATAGAGTGGCATAAAAGTAATTTGATGAAGAAAAAAATAAAACATCAACGCCATAATTTGATTGTATGGGTTGATTTTTTCACGTTTGATAAAGGTGTGTTCGCAGTTTATATTCATAAGAAAAACGTTGACAAAAATTGTTTTTGAAATGTCCTCTTCCATCTAAATACATTTCAGGGTCTCTCTGAAAAAAAAAACAATGTATCCTGGGGGCCAGAATCAAGGACGCAGCTGCTTTTTTCGAATAGGTTTTCATACTATTGTCGTTCAATCTCATATTTGCACTAAAGATTCATGTTTTTGTTTTACATTGCATCTTCAAAGTTCAGTGCTAAACAATGAGAGTTTGTTAAAAAAACTATCAACGTGTTTCATATGCTCTCATATCGTTCAGATGAAATTTTCTTGTAATAATTATGTCGCTATCATTTATGGTTTATTTTAAATTTTGAAAAATCACACATATTCTCATATTCAAACTATCTAAACGGTTAACTGAACATTATCCAAGAATTCAAATACAACAAGAAATGATAATGAGACAAGTATTATAACGAATTTTGATTTTAGCTATACAAGAGTACCTGCGACAGATTTGCAATTTTTTAAACAAAATTCTCGACGCTTATGACTGAAATTTTAAAGCACACAGATAAACAAAACGTGTATCTGTAGCATGAATATGATATCAAAAAGTCAATGAATGTGACCCTTATTTTGGCCAAGAGGGTCTACTGTTTTTCTCACAACTCGTGAAAAGATTATTGTCTCCTCATTGAAGTCAACGGTAGCCTTTCAAAACAGTTTTTATCAAAGTTTTTCTTATAAATATAGACTGTGAACACAATTTTATCACTGATGAAACAAATCAATCCATTTAGTTAAAATATGACATGTAATACTCAATTTTTTCTCAGTAAACTAACTTTTGGACCACTCTATATATTCCTCGGTCGTAAAATTGCAATTCTTTCTAGTTAAATCAATCATTTGAAACGAATATATATTGTTGGCATACAGAACATTAATGAAAAAGATGTCAGAATATGACAAATAGTTCTTGTCTTTTGTTCTAACTGGATATTTTAAAAGATAAATGAATCACACGAGACTCATTTACTTTTATTTACTTAATTTTCAAAAAAAAAAGAAAAGCTAGTCGTTATGACCGAGATTATACTTTAAATCGAACTCATTGATATTTTAGCCTATTCGATAGTGTTATAAAACAATTGAGATATGACCATGACATATAAATGGTCCACCTGTCGAGTTTGCTCTTTTTTTTCTCAATATTTTTATGATATTTGTCAATAAATGAGTAATTCAATGTTATATTTGATAAAAGAATTATTGATATAATTATGTCAAATAAGAATAAATAAAACTACAATAATATTATTAGTTTTCTATTTTAATATATCAACTAGTTAGTCATTAATTGATTTCTATGTAGCGAAAATTATGTTGAATATTTATCAAACCATGACTTTAATAATATTATGTGAAAAAAATAATAATGAAAAAAGTAGTATCTATTTTTTATTATAGATCATAATTTCTTTAAGAAAAATCAACAAATATTATAATCCTTTAAAAATTAATGAATAAATTTAAGATGAATTAGTTGATATGAAAATATGTCAAAATTCAATATGATATTTTAATAGGATACGAAAACAGAAGAAGAAATACGCTTATTCTAGTTTTTTTAGATGAAAAATAAAGAACTCTCGAATAATACCGGATATGTAACCGCTGTTAAAATACTTGACATTGAAAAACGATATAAACCAGGACCTAAACATTATGTATGTTTAAAACAAAAATCTAGTCTATTCAAAGTTTATACACTTATAGGTTTATGTTATACAAGTTACCTGGTCAAATCCTGAAAATCTATTTATTATCTATCGACGTTATGCACAATTTTTCGATCTTCAAGTAAACGATTATTTGTTTAAATAATTAAAGAAATTTAAGAAATTTTAGTGTAAACTACTTGATTTATTTGCTGAAACACCATTAGAATCAAATAATAATACTCAAATACGTCGAATTCCATATCTTCCTGGTAAAATAAAAACAATACATTTATGAAATAAGTAATCTATGAAAATTTTTAAGGTAAAATTATACTTGGTCGAAGTCAAATACGTCAAATTGCTTTAGAACGAAAACAAACTCTTAATGAATATTGTCAGGTATTTAATTGAATTTTTATTTATAAATCAAAATATAAATACAATTATTAAAAAAAACAACATAATAGAAATTAATTTTATTACCTGAACGTATTTCTCGATCTCGTCCAATAATTGAATTTTTTCATCCATTAATAACTGATGTACAGAAACCTATTGAATCGATTATGAATGAAAATAAATTACTAAGAAAAAGTTCAGTTGTTATAAGTGAACCATCAAAATTAGCAAAATATCGATGTTTAGAAGATTTTAATGCAACAGATAAACTTGAAATGTCATTAAAACAAAATGAGATTGTTGAAGTACTTCAAAAACATGAAAATGGTTTGTTTAATATACATAAATAATCATAAAGAATAATTCAGTAATATTTTTAAGGTTGGTGGTTTGTTCAAAATAATGATCGAACAGGCTTTGTACCAGGAACTTATTTGGAGCCATCTGAATTAGAATATGATATTCATGGAAGCGAAACATCTGACAAATCACTTAGTAATTAGGAAAAATATCATAGAAAAAAAATTATATTTCTTTTATATATATAGATAAAACATATGTTGTTAATGAACGATACGAAGGAAAAAGTTCAGATGAACTTTCATTAGATCAAGGTTCATTTGTAATTGTGATTGAAAAATCATTTACTGGATGGTGGATAGTTAAGTAAGAATTTTAATGTAATTAAGAAAAGAAAAATAGACTAATAAACAAAAATTGTTTTAACATAGATTTAATAATACGACTGGTAAATTTCCAGCAATATATCTATCATCTTGTGAAGGAATGCATACTTCAGAAAATGGTACGAGTAAATATTTATTTTAAGTTATTATACATATTGAGGATCCAAATGAAATAATTTTAATTCGATCTGCTTTTTATACTATAGCTCTAATTTTTTTTGAAAACTTTCTTGAAGAACTTTAGAAATTTACAATGAATTTTCGAATACTTTTAGATGATGCATCTAATGTTACTTCTAAAATACAAAAATCGGATAATTTCAATGATTCTGATTGGGTATAATAGAAATTATTTCAGTTTATTTGCTAATCGTATATATTTATATTATCTAGGATGATGATGAAGAATATCATAGAAAATTATCGAACGATACTAAACTCGAGTTATATTATGCTCATAGTAATTTTATTGATGATATCGAAGGCTGTTTATCATTTCAACGGGGTGATCTTATTGAAATACATACTAAACATTCAAGTGAATGGTGGTTTGGAAGACGAATGACCGATGGCCACGTTTTGACATGGTTTCCAGCGAATTATTTACAAAAAGTATATTTAAACTGCTTATGTTCTATTTCATTTTATCTCTTCTAGGAACCGATTTTGGATACAATTATTAATAATATAAATTATGAATCTTTCAATTCAGATCATTCTGATTCTTCAATTAATAAACAACAACAACAAGAAAAAGAAAAACTATCAACAGATGTTATCTATCAAAATTTCGAAAGTCAAGGCTCATCTGATGTTATTTATTCAGAAGTAATAAAAAATCAACAAACAATAGAAACAACAAACACTCATAAAGAGTCTTCTATATCTATTTCGGTCCCTCCTATGAATGACAACCAAGAATCAACACCAAAATCAGTAAAAGATATCGTAAAAAAATTTAATCAACGATTAGTATAATTGAATGATGACAATATCTTCTACTTTTCTATTGTTTTTCTTTATTTTATCTTTGCAATATTTTTATACATATTTTTTTACTAAACAGTGTGCAATACTGATTCTGAAAATGATGATAATAATAAATAAATGACCTTTTGATTGTTTTGATTAATTCAGTTAAATGAAAATCATTTGAAATTCTATGCTTTCACACTTAACAAGAATTGTATTTACAATAGAAATTATTTGTTATTTAATGAAACGTTTATATTTAACTCATATAGGCTATAGAGACGTTTTTTTCACGAATTGATTCATCATCTTGTCTATTTTATTCATTTATACCTATTAGATTTGATTCAAGCATACTTATATAAAAGTTAAGATGTAGTTAAATTGCAAACAATAAAATATCTATGATCTTCTCTACAAGCAATGTTAATAGAAGTATCTGACTCGGGTCGGGTCGGGTCGGATCACGAAAAATTGACCCATATCGGACACTGGTTCATAATACGTTAAGTAATGCGAATGTGCGCCAGTTTTGATGGTGTTGGACATAGATTTTACTTTTACATTAATTTCTGGTGTATTTATTGCCAACGAGGAAAATATACAGCAAATTCATCAGTAGGTGCAATCACACATTGATGTGTCGAAGGACATTCTTGACGATTACAACCACGACCACAGAAGTAACCATGAGGTGGAGCTTGTACATCTTCACATGAAATCGCCTTACATTTGCATATTGGACAACCGTCTTTATCAATAAAATTACCATATTTACAGTATATATCACATACTGGAACTCATTCAGGACTTGATACCAATTTCGATAAAGCTAAAGAGGCAATTGAACATAGAAGAAAAATTGCAAGAAAATGCATTTCTTAGTTTGCCATTGTATAATATTTTTATTTTAGACTTTGTGCAATAATATTTATACTTTTTAAAGCAACAAAAAATTTATTTTGTCAACATTTGTGTTTTCTTAAGCAATATACATATGGAATATATCAAATGATTGGTATGAAGCATTGTAACATAAGTACAAAATATTAGATGTTTTGATACAAATAAATTGCTAAACGTTAGACTAGTTTTGACAAAGACGGTCAAATCTATTGTAGCATCTATTACGCATATCATTTTTTTTTCGTGTACAATCAAGAGTATTATGAGACCTTTTTTTATTAAAGCTTGAAAATGAATCATGAGAGAAAACAAAATGTCATATGATTATAATCATGATTACAGGTGTAAGCCGATGCTTTGATGTGTGGTGTCGACTGAAATTAATTGATGATCTTTTCAAGTCTTCTTAATTTTTGAGAATTTTTTTGAATAGCAAAGAGCAAAATAAGGATAGAGATCGTCCTAATAGGAAACAAGATTAGAAAAATCTTAAAAACTTATCTTGAGTGTCCAAAACATTCGAAAGTCTAATATATATGTTTATGTCGTGGTGTTGGCGAGAATATCGAGTAATTATTTACGACAACGGTGGCACAGCTAGATTGTTTGGATGTTGTTGTCGACGGTGGTGGCAGCTGGAGTATTTCCAAAAACATCAGCGGCAGCGACGGCTCAGTCGCTCGGCTTACATCTCTAATCATGATCCTCACACATAACAAGTGGGTTTTTTTATCTAGGATTAGATCTATCCTCTAGTAACATAATTATTCATACTTTTCACATGTACATCTTTATTGTACGTTATGGAATTTAAACGAATTTATAAATTTCTTATTCAATGCTTAGCTGTCGATGTATGAGTTCAGTACTTTGTCCAAAATAAGTATTTATTTGATTGTAATTGAATGAGCATCATGATCATGCTAATAATTGTTAATCTATTTCATTCTTGATAAGACAATTAAATTTATAAAGAAATCTCATGAAAAATCGTTCTATTTCTTGTGAGGCCAGAACAAATCAATATCTTCTAAAATTTCTTTCCTTTTCATATTAAGTTTAAATTTGATCAGAGTAATCTTCGTATTTCATATTTTTAACAACATGTGTCTTCTTAATTGACAACAATGCTAATTTATTCGACAGCATGCGTACCTTGGAGTATATTAGACAACAACATATGGCAGTAAATATTTATCCGTGATTATGAAAAACAACAATAAAGTATAGTACAATTTAAAATCGATTAATTGTAGTTACAAAAGTACAAAATAGGTTACATAAAGCGACTTGCATTAAAGCAAACATATCGTATCCAGTTACGGTGCAAAACATTGTATAGAAATCTTTCTTGAGTTGTTTTTACTTTTTCCATCCTTAACTCAAAAACAAACTTTGTGCCACAATTATCTAAAGAGCAGACAGTCGTACGATTTTCGTTCAAACCTTGTTACAGAGTTCATGTTTCTATATGATCAATTTTTCTTCGAAACTTCAATATGAAGCTCAATTCGTTCTCAATTCACTTCACAAAATGTTGATTTTGAAGTGAAAACTCTGTTTTTTTCAAAATACTGAAAACGAGACTCATAGCTACGAGATCTTACAAACGTTTTTCACCTGCAACAATAATTTGATCGGATGTTGCTGCCATATTTCGAAGTTTTCGTCATATCAAATATCGGTAATTGAAATTTAAAATTCATTTGTCGGTCTCGTATTTTAAATGAAGCTTCAATTCTTATACTATGCGTGAGTATTCTAATTTACTTTCTCATTGATATAAGCTGTAAAGCATTGTCGAGGAGCTCACAATACTAGCTAAGTATATGTCTGGCTTACATTGGGAAGACAAAAACCACGCCATAGTTTTTTGTTATAAAAGAGAGTTTAGGAGTTAATTAAATGTGATTGATTGTATGTGCATTTTTTCAAGTTCCGTAGACTTAAAGTTTCTTTATATTATTGTCAAGTAAAGCATAAGCGTAATTGAAAACAATTCAATGAAACTATATTCACCGTACTATCATAATTCATGATTTTTGTTGATTTGGCAGTGCAACAGTCAGTTTTGGATTTCTTAGTTAATATAGCTTTAGGGTGTTTATGAACCAATTAATGATAAACTTCTCCTTTTCGAGTACTACATATAATAACAATCAGTCAAAATTTCTCATGAAAAGTTATTTTATATGGTGTGATCTATTAGGAATCATTTAAAGCGTTTCCATCATATATATAGTTAACTTTGAGTGCATTACTATTGACATCGACAGTCTATTTCTTTCAGCCATGAAAAATCAGAAAGAACTGGACATTAAAAAATCGTGCACCAGTATTTTAAAAATTTCATGAATTTTAGATACAATATCTACAGATTTTCCATCAGCACTAATTCTAGTTTGTCTCAGAGGCCGAAACGGGGACGATTGTTTTTTGCAGCTCGTTCCAATCCTAAATTTTGTTTGTTCTCGCTCCGCCCCGCCCCGGTTTGTCTTCACACTCTAATTTTATCACTGGAGTGTGGTGTGTGTGTGTGAATTAGAGATCTACGAAGTTACGTTTTTATGACTCCGACTTCTAAAACTCATTAAGACCGTGACACCCTTTTGAACATTTTTTTCAAGTTTGCTTTTGAAATTTATTAATGTACTCAGATTCCGACTCCTAAGCGTCCCAAAAGTTTTCTTTGTAAATTAGTGACAGCTTACACGTGGATGGCGATATTAAGTAATTTAAATTTTATTGGGAGTATGGTGAGTACAGATAAATGTTTTAAATCTGACAGAAAACTTAAAGCTGATTGAATTTCAATTATTTATGCCGATTAAATATACTTTCAATGAGTTCTAAGCTCTTGCCACGAGAAGAAACTCTAAATTTAATTAAAAAAGAAGGCCATTCTTTTGAACTAATACGTGAAAAAGCACTCAATATAAATGAAATCTGGGATAATTCCCACCAAGTTTTCATGAACAGTGAATTTTTAAGAAAAACGTAACTTTATTGCAAGAATTTCGTCAGATCAAGAAGGAACTAATAAAATGATCAAATTTTAATGTAGTTTTAATGATGTCAGAACAGTGAGGCGAAAAAGTAGTTTAAAGAGCGCATGAAGAGGATGAAAATAAATTCTTTGCTACGAGTGAGAATATTTACTGGTGTTGAACTTTTTTTCGCAATAGTTACTTTCGAAGATTAATCTAGTACAGATGTTTTTTGTCTTCTGTTTTATTTTTCAATTTGATGTTCATTTGCTTTTGAATTTACAATTTTTGTTAACTAACTATTACAAATATCAAAAAGAAATTCTACGAGGTGAGTAAAAATGTTTCTCAGCGTAGTAACGCTGTGATTTTAAATAACTTCGGAAGAGAATTTTATACCAAATGAAAGCGCATTAACAATGGGATTTATCAATACTAAGTATAGTAAGAATTATGGCAACTTTTCAGTATCGAATTCGAGAAATTTCTAAAATTTGATATCATATTGACACAGAAAAATTTCTATGATGAGACAGTTCAAACTAGATAGATCTCGTTTAAAATGATGAACATCAAAAGGTAATAGTTTTTTTTAAAGATTTCATGAATGTTATCAATAATTAGTGTGATGACCATTATCGTTTTGACAGAGGAACATGAGACGGATACAAACATAAAATAATTCAAAATATGTCAATGTTTGTTTCCATGTTTATTAAAACATGTGAAATATATTCTTTTCAGAGTTTCTTAATCACAATGATTGTATTCCGTCTCTAATAGCAATTTTCTTCAGCTTCATCTTTGACTATATTTCAAATACTTCTAGGTCAAATATCCAGTACTTTGTGATACTCATAATTTTTTATGATGTCTCGTTTGAAATGCCTCATGAAAAGAATTTTTCTCTTCCTATATAACACCAAATATAAGGAATTTTCTGACTTCGACACTGTTAGCTTGACATAATACTCACTTTTTAGCAATGATAGATTCCACTGTTGATACGCTCTCATTTAGTATAAAATTCTCTCCTGATGTTATTGAAAAACACAACGTAAGCCCTCTGGAAAAACATTTTTACCATCCTGTACATGAGAAAAGAATAAAGTA